GGTATTACTCTTTCGCTTGCAGGTAGGGGAGAGCATGGGAGGCAGCTTGCATCAGTCAAGGGGAACTAGCAGGATGTTAGCCATAGTCACAGCCTAATACTGCCAAAAAGCTAAAGGAAAGACAAGTCTTAGGCCAATTTCTGGCTGGAAAGAAGGTGAAAGCTGTAAGCCAAGAAACTCTTTCCTGTTTTGTTCAAGGAAGGTTACACCTTGAGTTTCCTTTTAAAAATATTCTTGAAATGCTTCTAATACCCAGTGCTTCTCCTGTGTTTTTTCCTCTGAAGCAAAATATTACAGACCACACAAATTCTGGCTAAAAATTGACTCAAAAAAAACCCCAAACTCAACTCCTAACAATGCAGATTAAACCTCAATCAAATGTAACCATGTTAAAGGACAGTCAAACACATAAACTCTCTCGCCAAGAAGGGGCTAACAAATTGAGATTTTTTTAGCTAGTAGCTGGGTCTCAGTTATTGTTAACATTTCTTTCTTTTTACTATTTTAAATGTATGTTCTTTCTACTCAAACTCATTTTGAATGAGAGATGAAAACTTACATTTGAGTATCTGCTACAGGGCAGAAAACCTCAGAATTAAAACTCTTGGGAGCTGATTTCAGGAAACGGGTAGCAGATTTCAGCAACTGGTGCAAAATGATAGAATAGCAATTTTCCTTCCCAAGCGTACTGTAAGAAAGATAGAATAAGCCTTTGTGAGAACACAGCCAACTGATCAGAAAGATTTGCTATCAACACTTAGTAATTTACCTGCCAGAAGAGTGTAATTAGGAGCACTGTTCTGGGATGTGTTTCCAGACTATCCAAGTACTCTCACAGCTAATGCAGTAGCCCTTCTGTCTCCTGGCTGCATTAAAATGCTGTGTCTTACTCTACAATACTGACAGCTGTATCAAATATAAAAGAAACCAGCAGTCACCTGCCACAACACCTTTCAGTGCAGCACACACTGATTACCAGGCACTCATTCATTAGCCCTACTTTGTTTGAAATTCTCCCTAATTGTGTGCTTGCTGCTTTTCCACTCATGATAGTCAGTAAGTCTGCTGGCAAGCTTAAGAATAAAATGCCTGAACGCCACCCTTAATTCACTCTTTAATTAACGTATTC